AAAAACATTGATCATTTATTGAACAGGATGGAATAATTTAATATTTAAAGTAATTTCAGAAGTTTTACTTCTGAATATGACTGAACCTTTCCTTTAATGGGCTGGCACAATAAATCATTAATAATAAAAACAACCTATTCCCTCATGTCCTCCTCATGCAATAGAAAAATCAGGTTTTTAGAAAAAGGCAGCTTATTAAATAGCCCTTAGTAGATTGATAAGAAAATCCGCTTTAGATGAATGAATTCTTGGATATGAGGATTCCCAGTAGTTTGAACTGAGATAAGTTCCAGTGTGTTCCAGTTTCCAGTGAAGTCTTCCTGTTTGACTATTGATCTTAACCTGCTTGTGTAGATGTGTTTTGGCTCTGCCCGCTGCTGCAGGCGTCTTCTAAGCAGCTCGCCGTCAATATCTGACTCCTGCACCAAAAAATGAGCCAAAGTTTCAGAAAGCTCATATCTGTGCATGAAGAGGTCTAAAGATTAGCTTGGTGGGGTTAGCCTGCTGTCATATGTGCTGCGCTCCTCCAAACAAACGGCTTTAAAACTCTGCTCAGATCAGACAGAAGTTTATAAAACCTCCATAAATACGAACGTCTCCCCATCAGAGGGTCTTTCATTAGGCTGACCGACACGACATCCTGAGCAGCAATCAGCAGAACATCGACAGGACGTCTCATAGGTTTCACTGCTGTTCTTTTATATTGTGGTGAATTTTCATTTTTAATCTTCAGTGATCTTTTATTGACCCAGATTCTGATGCTGACGATAAACATGAACATGTTGATGACGGCCTCCTCCTCTTCACACAGGAAGGTCGTTCATTACAGGCCTGAATGAGCAACACGTCCACTGAAGCCAGGCGCACACTGTACGATATATTTTGTCCTTTTCGGGCTGATTCTCCTGTCGTGCGAGAATTTTCCTATTCTGCCGACTTTCAGCCTGATGGTGCGTCGGGTAGTGTACAGGGAGTAACGAGGGGTGATCAGCCTCTAACGACTACCTCACCATCAGGAAGCGTAA